AGGGAACTGGCTAAGGCAGCTGCACCCTGGTCCGACCATCAGAAAGCAAGAGACCTGAGAACTCGAAAGACAAGGCTCACTGGCCATTTATCCCTCTGCCCTTCAATTAACCCCACAAGTGTTTATCAGCCAGGTTGGCACAATGAACTAACTACCTCAGGCCTCCACTGACCTCTAGCCCCAATCCAAGAACAGTTGTTTCTAATGGTCCTGCTCGATAATCACCTTCATGAAATGATCACGGAAGATAAGGGTGATACAGCAAAGTATGGTGAAGAGAGAAATGCTATCAATCAGAATAGTATGTGGGGTTTTAAAGGCTTGCGTTTAAACAAGCAGCCATGTAAGTGAGGAATCAACTAAGAACACATGGAAGAAGCACACCAGCTTGTGTGATCCAAAGACAACACTAACAAAATTCAAATATGCCAAAGGGAAAAGTATCAGAGTTTAAATTGCAAATGCCCGGTTTGTAGAAGGCTATGGAGGAGAGTCTGAGTCCAAAATCCATATGCAGAGTAGCTGGCCTGATTGTCTCTGGTAGATCCCCAAGAGATTCTTCTAGGTGCAATTATCTTGGTTGTTCCATGACAAACATTTCTTCCCTGGCCTTTTAAATATTCACGGTGGTCTTTTCTTTCTTACCCACTATTTGTATTTTTATCTCTATATTGTTATTATTTTATTCCTACCACTTTATTATTGTTATTATTACTCTGTTTGTGTTGGGGTTTCCACTTTGGGAAGCCCAGAGGCATAGCGATAAGAACAGAGGCAAGGGTTTATAGGGGAGATGGGGGTGGGGCGTAGGAGATAGGGAGGGTGAGAGGGTTGAGTAAGCAAACAATGTATGTGTGAGGGGGGAGGGAGCACTCTCTAGAACTGATGATGATTACACAACTTATTTAAAAAGTGATCTAACCAAGGTGGCGTGGGGGGTGGGGGAGCGGTAGAAAATATTCTAAAAATGATGGTGGTAATGATTGTACAATTCTCTTGTTATGATTGAACTATTATTGAATTGTGTGATATATGGATTCAATGCCAAAATTTTTTTTAAAAGAATAAACTTTTATGAAAAGGATATGAAAGAATAATTTATAAATTATCAAGGGTTTATGAGTGAAGGGGGAGTGGGAAGGGATGGGTAAAAATGAGGAGCTGATATCAAGGACTCAGGGGGAAATCAAATATTTTGAGAAAGATGAGGGAAACAAATGCACCAATGTGCTTGACACAATGGATGTATAAATGGATTGTGATAAGAGTTTTACGAGCCCCCAATAAAATTATTTAAATAAAAAAAAGAAGAGATGCATAAGTCGTGGCCCAAGGGTATGCTCAACTGAGTTTCTATGTGCTCAGGAGGTTTTCCCTTGTGGTGCATTGATGTCTGTCACCAATAGGAATCCCCTCTAAGCGTCACTGTCCAGGGTGTTTATTGGGGCTCATTACATAGGCACAATTGGTTGAATCACTGTCCTATGACTGCAGAAGTCTGACTGATATCACAGGTGGCTATTTTTGGGCTGGCCACCGTTATTTAACACGAGCCATCTCATTAATATAAACTCTTTTTAAAAAATCATTTTATTAGGGCTCATACAACTCTCATCACAATCCATACATACATCAATTGCGTAAAGCATAATATAAACTCTTTGGTGTGGTTCAAGACTTGGCATTCAAGAACGTCTAAGGGTTTAGAGGTTATCTCCCAGGACTCAGGGATAAAGACCAAATTCTTTGGGTAAAGCCATTTCTCATCATGCAGGCTTATAACATTCAGGTGGTGCAATCCCCTACTATTGGTTGGGGAGAGGTATAGACAAGAAATCATACAAAGCATGTACTACTTTTATGATAAGATGCATATCAAAACGTGGGCTTGGAAAATGGGTACGTTTCTTAAATATTTAAAATAAACAATTGCTTAACATCTTCTAAAATATATATAATTTCCAAACCCAAACCCAAACTTACTGCCATTGAGTTGATTGTGACTCCAAGTGATCCTATAGGGCAGGGTAGAACTGCTATTTCCTCACAGGAAACCTTGGGAGCTCACAGGTAGAACGGTGAGACTGTACTGTTTATGAGAGTAGAACACCCTATCGTTCTCCCCCAGATTGGCTGGTGGGTTCAAACTGCTCACCTTTCGGACAGCAGCCCAATGTGTATCCACTATGCCACAACCAGGGCTCCAGGATTAAAGAACTATCCCATTCATCCAATGTTACAAAGGATTCTTTTTCTTGTGCTTACTGCAAGTCAGACAGTATGCTAGACCCTTGGATAAAAGGCTGGGATCGAGGGCTCATAAACTAGGGAAAGAGATGTCAACATAGACTCATCTCGAAGAGTCTATATGCACAATGATTGGAATATGCACTTGGCGTAGTCTCATGCATGAAGGAGAAACACAAGTCCAGCCCCAGGTTTTAGGAAGGCTTTCTGATAGAAGTGATTTCTCAGTTGGATCTTCATTAAAAACATAGGTGTTCGGCAGGAGAAGTTATATAGTTAAGTTACAGTAGTAGGACATATGTCAGTTATTGAATTCTATACAAAATATGTCCTTTGCTTCTTTTAACCCGCGAGTTCCAGTGAATGACTGAAGCATTCAGGCAGAAAAATATGGTCATAGTTCAAGGTTCCTTCTAGTACCTTCTGAAGCTGGTTTTCAGAACTCCTTTCCTCATCGTTTTTAGATGTATCAGTGAGACAGTGGTTCAGCATCATCTTGAAAGAGATTTCACCAAAAAATTCTATCAGGAGAAGTAAGGCAATCCCGAAAGAGAGTCTGTGTGGAGCGGGTCACTGGATAGGACTGAGGAGAGAATCGTAAGTAGCCAGCAGGAAAAGCAATGTCCACCTCAGGGAATTGCAGTTGGGGCATTTCTATCTATCTACACACACACACACACACACACACACACACACACACACACACACAGCACTATGTGAAAGAAAACTCAAAGTCCACATTAGGATTTTGCCCCCGCAGTACATGACTGGATAGTCGAGGGGAGAACTTTTCAGGCCCCGTGTGATGAGTGGCAACAAGTAGAAGAGCAAGTGAAAGAAGCAGATCAACCCTGAGTCAGACCCTGGTGCATTGACGTCTGTCACCAATAGGAAGCCCCTCTAAGCGTCACTGTGCAGGATGTTTATTGGAGCTCATTACATAGGCACAATTGGTTGAATCACTGGTCCTATGACTGCAGAAGTCTGACTGATATCACAGGTGGCTATTTTTGGGCTGGCCACCGCCATTTAACACGATAAAAGTTACATTTTGATAAAAATTACCATTACATTTTGATAAAAATTACCATTTGGGCTTTAGGCTGTACTGGAATTTCCAATATATGAATAAGGAGATTACATATAAATAAAAAGTCACCAGAAAAGCTATCGTTTCTTCTAAAAGTAGAAACAAATATGAGATCAGAAAATGTTTGGCATGATCAGTACAATGAAGTTCCTTTGTGTTTGCACACTACCAACACCAAATCACCCAATAATGTAGTTGCAAGTGAAAGTATTTAAACATTGCTATAACCTAAGAGGTGAACCCTGGTGGTGTCGTTGATTACATGTTGGGCTGCTAAATTCGAGGTTAGCAGTTCAAAACCACTAACCCTTTCTTGAGGGAAAGTTACAGTCTCAGAAACCCACAGAGGCAGTTCTACTGTCCTATAGGGTTGCCACGAGTCAATTCTAACTTATGGGAGGGCATTTAGATTTTTATTGCCCAAGAGAGGATGAAACCCTCACCTGGAATACCTAGTGCTGCCTCGTGGTATTCCCCAGGCAACAGGAGAGCACGCTGCACTTCAGATGGTTGCTATTGCTGCTGCTGCAGCTGCAGTTAGGTGCTATTTAGTCAATACCGACTCTATTAGAAAGGGAAGAACAGCCCTGTAGAGGTTTATACACTATAATATCTGCAGGAGCAGATAACCAACTCTTTCTTCTGCAAAGTTATTGGGTAGGTTCAAACTGCCAACTTTTCAAATAGCTGAGGGGGATGAGAAGCTAAGAGTTTTGCGTTAGACTGGGTTGACTATAGAAACAAATCCAGAGACACTCATATATGTATAAGAAAGAGATCTATATCAAAGAGTAATTGTATATTAAGAAAACATCCCAGCCCAGTCAAGATCAAGTCCATAAATCCCTGTTTAGACTCAATCAGCATATGCAATGATGCAAAATGCAGGAAGATCACAGGCCAGTGGGTGCAAAGTCTTGTGGGTACAGTGGTGGTGGAAGCATTCCCAGGGCTCTCTTAGGTCTCCAGGTAGTGTCAATGTGAAGGTGAAGGCAGAGAGAGTGCAGTCTGATTATAGGAGTAAGAGGAAGAGGCTGGCCTCAAAGAGCCACTAATCTCAGTAGACCTCCAGTGAAGCTTCACCCTGATTGACAGGCTAAACTCTGCCCACATGTTCCTACAGGAGCCACGTTGGCATAAGAAACCCAACTATCATAGCCCACCCCTTCACTCTTATAACTTCAAGTTGACACAAGATTATGTAACTGCCACAAGTTTGGTGAAACCAACTCATAATCTCCCAACATGTTCAATATTGATGTATGGAGTTTCTGCCCCAAATATAAGACAATAGGCATATTTTTACGTTCCTTAAAAAAAAAGTGTATGAAAAAAATTAGTTTGATTAATTTCTCTTTTCTTCCTGAAAGTAAATATTAAGATTAGAAAGAATTATTTTTAATGCTTTTGGGAACTAATCTTTTTTCCCATAGAAACATATTTTTGTAACTAAAAGGTATCAACATACGATCAATATGTGATAAATTTTGTTTTGGATAAAATTTCTGTGATGGTTATCAATAAAGCAAAACTAATTTGAATTGGAGAAAGAGAATTATTTTTCCTGCTTCGACCTATAGATTCATTGTGTTATACAAAGTCTACTTATGAGCCTTGGATCATCCTCATCCCACAGATTATACGATGGAGAGCAGATTTCATGTCCTTGTTTCGGAGGCTGTAGATGATGGGGTTTAAAGCAGGTGTAACTACAGAGTATATCAGCGTGATGATCTTTTGCATAGCAACTGAATTTCCAGAAGTGGGAGACACATACATCACTATTATGGTTCCATAGAATAGAGACACCACCACGAGGTGGGATCCACATGTAGAGAAGGCCTTTCGCCGACCCACTGAAGAAGGAACTTGAAGTACAGATCTGAGCACTAAGGCATAAGATCCAAGGATGTAGAAAACAGTGATAATGATAAACAGAGTACACACAAAGTGTAATACATGCTCTATGGTGGGTCCAGGGACACAGGACAGTGCTATTAATGGGTTCACATCACATAGGAAATGATCAATGATGTTAGGACCACAGAAAGGTAGTTGAGAAATGAACAAAATGGGAATTAAATGTCCAAGGAAACCAATGAGCCAACAAAGAGACACCAGAATGCCACAGAGCCTCAGAGTCATGATGGAGGGATAGTGCAGTGGGTAGCAGATGGCCAGGTACCGGTCATAAGCCATGATACAAAGGAAGAAGCATTCAGTTGTTCCCAGGGCAAAGAAGAAATAAAATTGAGTGAAGCAGCCAGAGAACGAAATGGTCTTGGTTTTGGAAAGAAAGTTAACCAGCATCTTGGGAACTGTGCAGGTCACATAACAGAGCTCTAGGAAGGAGAAGTTGGCCAGGAGCACATACATGGGAGTATGGAGTCGTGGGTCCCACCTCACTGCACAAATGATGGCCATATTCCCAGTCAGAGTCAAGATGTAGATCGACAAAATTATCCAGAAAAGGAGGATCTGCATTTCCCAAGGGCCAGGAAAGCCTAGCAGGACAAAGTGTGTTACAGTAGATAGCTCTGACTTATTCATGGCTCCCAGACTGTGGAGAAAAGACAGATAATGACAATTGACTTTGTGCTGGGGCAGCCTGAAACTTTCCTGTTGACAGAGAGTTTGATTCATGTAGGCAAACATATGGACACACACACACACACACACACACACACACGCGCACACACCCTAAAACCAAAAAAAGTTCCCCACCCCCCAAATATATGCATTTAAGTTTTTTGTTGTTGTTTGTTTTTTTACAAAACCCCCTTATCACCTTCCAAGTACTCTCCATTGCACTTAATATATTTGTTAAATCTGCAATTCCATTCTTGGAAACCTTCTTCAAACTCATCTGTTTGGATGGCTGACAGCACCTCCCTTGTTTTTTCTTCACCTCTTCTAAGTCCTCAAATCGCTGTCCTTTCATGTCCCTCTTCATTCTCGGAAATAAAAAGAAGTCACTCAGGGCAAGGTCAGGTTAGTAAGGTGTGTGGGTCAAGAGAGGCATGCTGTTGTTTGCACCAAACCTGAGCTCTGAGATGGCTGCGTGAGAGGGTACTTTGTGTGGTGGCAAAACCAGTCCCCTCCCTGTCTGCTACAAATCAGGCCTTTTTTGTCACACACTGTTACACAATCTTTTCAGAACCTCTAAATAGAAAGCTTGATTAACAGTCTGACCAGGTGGAACAAGCTCCAAATGCACGAGTTTACATTTTTGTCCATTTGAGAAGTTGACAGAAGTCATCAATTGACATTTCACTTTTTTTGAAATAAGAAAACCACTTGTACACTTGAGTTTTTCCCATAGTGCTGTCCTTGTAAGCTGTGTTCAACATCACAAGAGTTTCTGCGGCACTTTTTTGCAGTAGGAAACAAAATTTCATAGCCATACACTGTTCTCTTAACAAATAAGCTTCAGAAGAAGGGAACATAACAGATCAGCAACAGGAGCAAAGCCAAGCCACAAAACCCTTGAAGTGCCTCAAAACTAAGATAGGCATGGGAGGCAAGCCCAAGGAGAAAGCAACAGAACCAATGGTTCCGCAGAGACTTGTGGGGAGGAGGGGGTGGGGAAATGAGCGGTGAAAAACAACGCCACAGACAGGAGAACAAGTAGGGAATTAAAAGCAACAAGAAGGAGGACATAGAGATCCTGGGGGAGTTGGAGCAACAACAATCTAGCTGAGAGGAATTACTAAGAGGCAGACAAAGGGTGAGCTTGATGGTGGGAAAGGTGGAAGGTAAAAGGAAACAGAGGAAAGATCTAGGCATCAAAGCTGTGGATAGAGGAATAAACATAAGTGTGCCCTCATGTAAATATATTAATTCATAAAAATAGAGGTATAGGCATATGTACATATATTTATAAGACAATACATTGAGGAAGTAGATGGATTTTGGGCCTCTGCTAATGGCCTCCATCAATACAGGAATACTTTGTTCTAACAACCTCGCATTCTGCGATGTTCACTCTCACAACACAATCGCTGAAGGCAAGATGGGTGCATAAGCAAACGTGGTGGATTAAGCAGATGGTGCCCGGCTATTAAAAGATATCGCATCTGGGGTCTTAAAGGCTTGTAGTTAAACAAGCGGGCATCTAGCAGAGAAGCAACACTCCCACATGGAAGAAGCACACCAGCTTATGCGATCATGAGGTGTTGATGGAATCAAGTAACAGGCATGAGAAAGACCACAAACAAACAAACAAACAAACCAACAAACAAAAAACCCAAATTGTTGAGAATGAGGGGGATTGTAGCAGAGACCCCAAACCCATCTGTAGACAATGGGACATACTCTCATAGAAGGTCCACAAGGAAGGGATGAGTCAATCAGGGCACAGTATAACACCGATGAAACACACAATATTTCTCTGGTTCTTTAGGCTTCCTAACCCCCAGTTCTGACTCTCAGTTCTGGCTAGACCGAAGCATGTATACTGGTATAGATAAGAGCTCACAACACATGGAATCCAGGTCAGATAAACCTCTGAGGAACAGAAATGGGAGTAAAGATAAACAGGAGTGTAGGGGAAATGTGGGGAGAGGAGAGGAGGAAGGAGGAACTGATCACAATGATCGATGCACAACCCTCTCCCCCCAACAGTGGGATGAACAACAGAAACATGGGTGAAGGGAGACCGTGGTTGGTGTAAGAAATTAAAACAATAATGTATAACTTATCAAGGGACCAAGAGGGTGGGAGAGTGGGGAGGGAGGGGAAAAAAAGAGTTTATACCAAGGCTCAAATAGAAAGTAAGCGTTTAGAAAATGATGAGAACACATGTGCAAATATGTTTGATACAATTGATGTATGTAATCTTATAAAAGTGTGTAAAAGTCCCAATAAAATGATTAAAAGAAAAGAAATGAGATTCGAATGAAATGGCTTTTATGAAAAATCTCACTGTGATCAGAGAGAAACTTCCCAGGCGATGCCTATAGGAGGAACATTTGCCTTCAAAACTTTCTCAGAGAAGTAGTATCTTTTCTGTGAATAGATTAATTTAGTGTCCTGTATTGCATAGAGGATGAAGGTATATAAATAATAGTATTCACTGAAAATAGTGAAATTGGAAAAAGTCCTTGTATTCAATATGGTTGCATGAAATAAAAGATATACAGTATGTAGTGGTTGCAGGCTCAGTAAAATTTTAATTTATAAGCTATCACATATTTCTAGAAGTACACATACTCTTCCGAATGTGTTGGCTATGCCACAGCAGGTGGTAGTCTAATGAACAAGAGACCAGGAAGAGGGAACCGGAAGATGGTAATTATATATGTGTGTTTGTGTTATATATGCACATCTATCTATCTATCTATCTATCTATCTATCTATCTATCTATCTATCTATCTATCTATCTATCATCTATCTATCAATCATCTATCTACCTATCTATCATCTATCTATCTCTTATCTATCTATTTATCTATCATCAATCAATCTAGCTGTCCCTTAGTTTAAAAATGCATTTTCTAGACTCGAATTTTCATGAACAGTAAAGTAACCTGTCTTGATGATCATTGTGGTGAAGTTTCATGAAAAATAGTCCCCCACTACAGGAGCTGTATACATTCTTCTGTTTTCTAAGCAAGACATTCAGCTTCTTAACCAGATTGAGAAACAGTGATGCAGGGAACAATCATTTGTGCCTGGAACAGAGCAGCATAAGCAACAATCCCGAGTTTAAAGTCGTAGACTTTGACCCAAAATGTGACCACTCTGGTTGAGATACAACAAACAACCTTCCAGAAAACGATTAGCCACAGGGGAAGCATGGTAATGGAATTTCACAGACAGTTGCCAATTGAACTGTAGGAAGTTGTTCCCAATATATTCACCATTAAACCCCGTGGACCCATTACTCATGCTTGATGTGAATGTTTTGAAATTTTTTCTGTCACCTCATCTGAAAGTATAGTTGAGAAATAGAATGGGCAAAGGGGGAAAGCTGGATACAGGAAACAAACAAACAAACAAACAAAGACACAAATTCCAGTTTTTTCTTGATTTTCAATCTCAGTAGACAGAGTGAGCTCCATCCTTTTGCTCAAGTATCTAGGGCAATCAGTTCGTCTCTGGTATCCCAGCGGCTCCCTGAGATGGGGCAAGACGTTGGCTCCCTCTATGCACTTATTTTGGTGAGTTAATTCCTGAGTGGCTTAAGTACTTGGAGGAATTCAAACAACAACAACAAAGTGTTATATAGCTGAAAGGGAAACCAGTATTGTTTGAAATCTTGAGCACATTGAGCAATCAAATGTACAGGGGGCTAGGCCCGCCTGTATGATATCATAGCAACCATGCCCATCAGAGATGTTCCCGGCACACCTTGAAGCTTTCCTAGGTCAACTTGAAGAGTCCGTAGTGAGGTCACAAAGACTCTCTCCTTCCTGGGCTAGCTCCACGCTCACCTTTCTTCCCTGCCCTTGCTCCCTGAGCTTCTCGCGGCCACTTTCCCCACAAAGTGAATGGACACGCGGGTCTAGCCTCATTTATGCTTCATTTTAGTCGCAGTGGAGAACGTTCAGGTCTCCTGTAACTTTCCATGTTTTCTCTCGGGACTTTCTTATTTTTTCATCTTGGGGTTTCGTTCATTCTTTTGATAATTTGATCCCTCAGGATTTAAACAAGAAATGTGCTACTTTAACTCTTGAGAGACCGTGCGTCTTTCAGCGCCCCTCCTGTGTGTGACGTTGTGCCGTGAGGTGCACAAAGCCCTCAGTTGGGTGTTTTCCTGAGGGGTCAGTTTCAGAGGAGATCGTTTCCGATCACTGGGAATATGTGTGTGCTGTAGAACAAAGCTGGTGCTGCCCAGTCAGTCCAGGCCCACGGTGAGCCTATAACACGGAGGAGAATTGCTCCAGGGTTGTACACTTGATGGATGCAAATGGAAAGAGTTTTGTCCCTTGGATTTGCTGCTAGATTTGAACTGCCAGTCTTGTGCTTAATGGCCAAGTGCTTTAACCACTGCACCAGCAGAGCTCTTTCTACTATGGATTAGCCTCTCTCTATTGCTGTCATGTTGGTCCCCCCTCTGCAGGACAGAGTGGGACCGCCTCACCTGGTTTCCAAGGCAGCCGTTGTTATGGCAGCAGATGGCCTTACCTGTTTCTTGCTGAGAGACTGGTAGGTTCCAACTGACCACTTTTGGGTTGACTATTGAATATTTATCCACTGCACCTAGGAAACAGGATTTGCTATGCTTTTTAAAGGGAAAACTTCAGCTTTCTAAGAACCACTGCTCCAATATGCCCTGTTTTCTCTGATTACCGTTGCCAGGCAGCTTTGGCGGGAAGACTGAGAAGCGTTGTGCTAAAGCATTGCTTCACCTGGTACCCAGCTAGTCCATCTTCCTTGCGCACCAAGTTTCTTTTTAAAAATTTATTTATTCTAATTGTTTTATTAGGGGCTCATACAACTCTTATCACAATCCGTCCATACATCAGTTTCGTAAAGCACATTTGTACATTCATTGCCCTCATCATTCTCAAAACATTTGCTCCCCACTCAAGCCCCTGACATCAGCCCCTCA